TATATGAACTATAGTAACAATTTATTGCTAATGAAATTAAATTTTAACTTGGGTGTACATAGTAAATATAAAACTATAAATTTTAAACACAAGAGTGTGTAGTGTAATGTTATTTCTGTATTATTGTAGTACTCTTGAAATGTTGGGAAAGAAAAGATGAAAAAACGATTATTTTGCTTCAAAACTTCCTTTCAAAATACACACCATGATTTTTCATGACATTACATTGATTAGTAGTAAAATATACATGTACAGTAAACAGCAATTCTGTTCGGCTAAATAACTCAGTATTTTTAGCTCCGCTGTCGACTTTGTCGAGCGGAGCTTATCATATGAGTGATTGTCTGTCGTTGCAGTGTCAATGTTTTACTTTTTCGACTTCTTGAAAACTACAAGCCTGAATGCTTTGATACTTGGTGTATATGTACCTTGGGTAGACCTCTCTTAGATTCGTTCATTTCATGATATCTTCAATTCTCTGATTTTGATGAATATTTTTGTCATTTTTGGTAAAAAGTGATATTTTCGACTTCTTGTTAAAAACCGCAAGTCAAATTGCTTTGATATTACATATTTATGTACTACATGTGCACCTCTTTCAGATTTGTTCATTTTGTAATGATATCTTCAGTTCTCTAATTTTGGTGAATATTTTTGTAATTTTTGGTAAAAAGTGATATTTTCGACTTCTCGTTGAAAACTGCCAGTCCAATTGCTTTGATATTACATATATAGGTACTACATATGGACCTCTCTCAGATTTGTTCATTTTGTAATATCTTTAATTCTCTAATTTTGGTGAATATTTTTGTAATTTTTGGTAAAAAGTGATATTTTCAATTTCTTGTTAAAAAACACAAGTCCAATTGCTTTGATATTACATATATAGATACTACATGTGGACCTCTCTCAGATGTGTTCATTTTGTGATGATATCTTTAATTCTCTAATTTAAGTGAATATTTTTGTTAAAAAGTGATATTTTCGACTTCTTGTTAAAAACCACAAGTCTGATTACTTTTATATTACTTATATAGGTACTACACGTGGACCTCTTTCAGATTTGTTAATTTCGTGGTGATATCTTCAATTATCTAATTTTGATGATTATTTTTGGTGAAAAGTGATATTTTTGAATTCTTGTTAAAAACAGCAGGTCTACATATTGTTCATTTTCTAATGATATCTTCTGTTCTTTAATTGAAATACGCATTGGTAACAGAGGAGCTATCTCTTGTTTTTATTTGTGATCTAGATTATTTTTTTCATGTTAAAGTTGTGTGTTTTTCTCTGTTACTAAATCAAATATATAGTATTATTTATTACGTTGACTTATTGTGTACTCTAGATTAAAAGAAAGTTCACCCAAGTTTTTGGTTGCCAAGGTGACCAGGACTACATTTTGCAAATACACCACTAAAATTTCTACATTTCTTCACAAAGAAAGACGAATTAATTTCCTTAAGACTTCCTTGCCCAATATGTACTTATCACCATGATTTCTCATGACATTACATCATTCAGTAGCAAAATAGATACATGTACAGTGGAAAGCAGATCTGTTTTGCTAAATAACCCACTATTTTATTGATTTGCACTCTAGATTAAATGTTGAACATGCCATAGCACAACACCCTTCTATTCTGAGTGGGGTAAGGTGTAAGGTCAAACTGTTGTTGCCATGGTCACCAAGACCACAACATTACAACACCACAACTAATTTTCTTGCATTAAAATCTTGGGTTTTTTCATGTTGCTAAAAATGAATGTCTAGCAATATTTATTACTTTGACCTATTGTGACTCTGATTAGAAGAAAGTTGAACCATGTTTTTGTTGGCAAAATTGCTCACCTGACTAATTTTTTTGCAAACACCACCACTAAATTTGGTGCATGGAAATTGTTTTTGTTACTAAATACATTTATATATGTGCAGGAAATTAGAATAAGCTTTATATCCTTGATAACCAAGACCGAAATTTAACTTCTACACATAATACTTAGCTGCTTTGTGACAAATACCACTGTGCACACAAACAATCTTGTGAAATAAAATTCCTGTTAGTAATATCAAATTTACAAAGTGTGCATATTTAGACAAAGTTTTGTGGGAATTTAATTGCACTTCTACTTAAATATAATGTTTAACCTAATATCAAAGACATTCCAACTGCTACTTTCTTGTAGGTTTCATTCAAGTCTGATCATGTTATTTCCACTCCTATTCATGCCTGATTTCTACTAGATCTTAATGAAAATTAGTTTCACACTTTTTAACTTCCTTTTGGTGCTGTTGATTTTGTGTTTAGTCATACTTCAATTTAAGACAAAACATTTAGGGAAATTTGCACTTCTACTTAAATACCGGTATAATGTTTAACCTAATACAAAAGACTTTCAACAATCAGATCTATTTCACTAAAAAGCAAATTCTTCTGCTACTTCCTTGTTGGTTTCAAGTCTGATCATGTTATTCTTATTTTCTTTCTTATTCATGCCTGATTTCTATTAACGGGTAGATCTTAATGAAAAATCGTTCCACACATTTTAACTTTTGGTACTGTTGATTTTGTCTTTAGTCATACTTCTATTGTAGACAAAGCATTGAGGGAATCTGCACTTCTACATAACTATAATTTTTAACCTATTAAATACAAAAGACTTTCAAAAACTTAGTTCACTAATAAAAAAACATTTCCTTCTGCTATTTCCTTGTAGGTTTCAAGCCTAATCTGGTGGTTATAAAGGGCATGTTATTCTCAATTCCTCTTCTATGCATGCCCAATTTCTAATAGCTTATAATGATAATTAGTTTCACACTTTTAAACTTCCTTTTGATATAATTATTGATTTTGTCTGTAGTCAGGGATTGAAATAGAATTTTTTCCATGCATGCATAGTGTGCATGTTGAATTTGAAATTTACCTGCACTAACATGTGAAATGCACTACTTTTAAAGCTTAAATAAAATTTACGGGTTCTCGATTGATGCAATCACGAAAAGATTGTTCACAATGTTGGTTGAACTTAATTTAGGCTTAGTGAATATAATGAGAAAATGTTGTTTCTACATGCACAGCGTGCACATTATATTTTGAGTTTACTTGCACTAGCTAATAATCTATGTGCATAAGTGCAGTGTGCACCAGGGTATTTTGATCCCTGGTAGTTACACTTCATTTATCAGATATCATGTTGTTTGTGAAATAAATATCAATTCAAATAATTATTCATCAGATCTTATACTTTTCTTTAGTAATTTGCAAAAATAAATTAAACTATTAATGAAATGACTATTAACATTATCAGATAATTACCAGACATAACATTAATTCTTCCATCAATAAATTTGATAGAACCAACCTTCCCTAATAGGAAATATGACTGTCAATTGTTGTACCTCATTTAATTTCCCTTAATGGTTTATAGATTTGTACTTAATATGTGGCTAATCAATTCTTATTTTTATTTATAATATGTTGGCTAGTGGGAAAGAAACATTTTTTTCATTGGATGAAGTTCCAGAACGAAGACCTATGGATTGACCAGTACCTGTACCTGTATCTCACAAATACCAGCACCAAGCAAGTTCAAACTTAACATATACCTGGTACATCAGACATTGTATTAGATATAGGCATTTATTTCACGATCTGAGATCAATATAGCTGAATGGCTGCCATTTTAACACCAAAAATGCATGAAAATCACATAATTTTACCATTTTGGAACTGGATGTCAGTCATTATTCGCAGACTGATTTGGAACATACATTAATGAACACAATGAAATCTTAATTGATGCACTTTATTTTATTTTTTGGAACAGATTCAAAATTACCAAATTACCAAAAATGTCGTTTAAACATTTCTGACATTCACAATTACATCAGACATCATATCTGCACATGCATATTAGCCAACTGGAAAACCATTTTGTATTAAAAGAGAATTAAGGCCAAGCAAACAACCTTATGCTCCCAGGTAAAAGAGCTCTATGAAACAATTTTAAATGCTTGTAAGTGTAAGGGAAAAGTCTTGGGAAACAACATAATGCTCCCAGATGAAAAAGCTCCTCGTATGTTGGAGAATGCAATTTACAGTTTTTCATATCACTTTTCATTCTCTTGATATTTCACTTTTCTTCAGTATTACTATTATAATATTTCTTAGATCATGAGCCCAGGTACTAGTACCTCAACATGTAGAATCGGGGGGGGGGGGGGGGGGGGTTACCCAAATTACATTTGTTGTTCACCATGCCGGGCTACTGGAAATATTATGTTAATATTAATGTTATTAAAATTGTAAAATGAGTTTCGTCGTCAATGATAAAATATTACGGTGTAATAATACAACAACAATAATGTCACAGTCAAAAGTAAGATCTCTATTGTTTTCCTTTTTGTAGAATATTTTCAATCATACGCAAACTCTTGATGCAAAGCAATTACCGCCATGATGGTTTTTTTTGCCCAATTTGAGCTGAAACAACATCCTCTGACCTATCAGGTCAAGTCTGCCATTAACCAATCAAATATTAATTGTGCCGTACTGACAAAATTGTCCTGTAATTTCTGAATGTTAACAATGACTTTTTTTTAACACAATGCAAAAGTATGTTAAAATATGATCTGCAAGCATGGAGATTTTTTTCCATAAAACTGGTGATTCACAATTTTTGTGGAGAAAGTATTTAACACCTTTTAGGGTTGTTAACAGGCTATGTCAAACCATAGTTCTCACCCCATTCATGATAGTCTCAACATAGAGGTAAAACTACCTCCATAGTCTCAATGAACACTGATTATTCAGAAAAGTAAAACGAGAATAAAGATGATGGACTACATAGCACTATCTAAAGACTAAAAGTGATATAAGAAAACTGTTAAATTGCTTTCTCCTACATTTGTGGAGCCTTTTTCATCTGAGAGTATTATGTTGTTTCCCCAGACTTTTCAGACCCTTACAATCCATTAATGTTTCAATCTCCTGAGGGGGAGCAATTAATGCTTGTTTATTTAATACTCACATCATGTTTTTGTAATGG